GAAGTATCGAACTCGGGAAAAACGTATGCCATATGGTGACGCTCGTCACCACCTTTGGTGACGCTCGTCACCCAGAGAGGAAGGGGTCGTGACTGTTTTCTAAAAGATAGAGGATTATTTGCAGTTTTGGCCCAGAAATTCTAGTATTTGCAAAAAGGCCCCAGATCGTGTTTTAGCTTGTATATTAGGTTTTTCAGCCATTCTTTTGGCATATATCTTGTATCTTATTATTTTAGAGAGCTTCAGAGAGAGATTTGTAGAAGAGCTTTTGGGGAGACAAATCAGACTCCTTCATAGCAGATTTTGAACTCCTTTACTTTCTATTTCTTATTTCTTTTATGCAATCTATTCTTTTCATGATGTTTTCTCAAATTACCATGTCTGAGTATTTTGTTAGTTAAGTTAGAGCTTTTTTCAAGGGTTGATGAAGAGATTGTAGAATCGCTACCTGTTAGGAATATCTTTTAGTTTTTCATCTCTGCTTGCTTTAAAATCGAATTTCTTGGACACATCATCTAGAAATCCGAAAATCCTAGGTTTTTAAATATATGTGAGAGCATTATTGATAACCTGAACTAGTATTTGATGAGCAAAACAACTTCGTGCAAAGAGATTTGGCTTAGGAGTTTTGTAAACAATTGAATCTGATCATTCCTGCATGCTTAGGTTGTTAGGGTTTGCAAAGAAATTTGAAACTCTGTGATTTAGGCATAGATAACTTCTGCAATGAGAATTGATTTGTTATACATCAGTGATTCATGTTTAAAATGGTTCTTAATCATTCCTGATTTCATGCATTCTACATTATTGGATTCAACCTGCGAACTGTTCTGACTTAGCGCTTTTAGTCTTCTGAAACTTAGATCATCTTACAAAATCGTTTGCTTACTTTTATTTATTCATTCGCATTACATAAATTATATCTTGCTTAGCTTAATCCGAACCTACATTTGATAGTGTAGTCTGCATTACTCTCTTGGGATTCGATACCCCTTGTACTACAACTGCTTTTGCTGTGCACTTGCAGTAGTTTTATTTGGGTAAAACCTGAGCTCTATCAACGAGTAGGGCCAGACTTTGGATTTTAGCCTAATTGACATCTCTATTTTCAGTTACGAAAGGCCCGACAGGTTAGACCACTTAGCCCAAATTAAAACCGAACAAGGCTTCGCCCATGGAAATCCCAGCCCGTCTACTGTAACCTAAATTCAGAAGCTATATAAAGCGCGCTGAAAATCTAGGGTTTCATCCTCCCTTCCACCTTTAATTTAATTTTTTTCATCTCTTCTTTCCTCTTTCAATTTTTCTTTTGATTTGTCAACAATGGCACTGGATCCAGATTATTGAATCACTCTCCTCTGGGATGCGAAAAATGTCACGGTTGATCTTGAAAAGATGGAAAGATTATTATACAACATTGAAGGCTCCCTTAAAAGGGTGGATCTGAGGTACCATATCGCTGAACAGAAGTTTATAGTCTGTAACAAGGGTCATGATTTTGTCAAAAATAAAGGAGCCTATCTAAAGGAGAATCATTTCATCAAGATCGATGTGCCTTACCGCTACAGGAAGTGCCAATAGCCGGGTTGTAAAACAGTACTTCAGCGGCGTGATGATAAAGAGTCCTTCCAAAGAGCGTACGATGTGGGTGATCGTCTTTTAGTGCAACAAATCATGAAGCAGTCTCGGTCAAACTGGTTGTCACGAGATGTGCTCATTATCTCTGGATATTCAGATTTCGCTATAACTGTAAAAACCTTGCAAGATAATGGCATTAACGTGTTACTGGTCGTCCACTACAGTTAAAGAGAGTCATATAAAAATATGGTACAATATGCTTGGCTTTGGGATCGGATGTCGACTAGGGTATCAAATTGTATCAAGTATTTTTTTTTCTGTTTTTCTTTTGATTTGCGTGAATGGGGTTGGCCCGAAATGCCTAATTTTTTAGGCTAATATATCAAAGTCCGAATTTGCTATATCTCAGGGACGATAGAGCCAGACTTCGGATTTTATCCTAATTGACATCCCTATTTTCACTTACGAAAGGCCCGACTGGTTCGACCACTTAGCCCAAATAAAAATCGACACGGTTTGGCCCATGGAAAGCCCAGACCATCTACTGTAACCTAAATTCTGAAGGTATATGAGGCGCACCATAAAATCTAGGAATTCATATTCCCTTCCACCTTTGATTTGGTTTTTTCATCTCTCTTTTCCTCTTTTGATTTTTCTTTAGATTTGCTAACAACGGCACTGGATCTAGATTATGCAATCACTCTCTTCTCGGATGCGGAAAACGCCACTGTTGAGCCTAAAAAGATGAAAAGATTGTTACACAACATTGAAGACTCCCTTAAAAGGGCGGACCCAAGGAACCATATCGCTGAAGTGAAGTTTGTAGTCTGTAAAAAGGGACATGATTTTGTCAAGAAGAAATGAGCCTATCTAAAGGAGAATCATTTCATCAAGATCGATGTGCCTTACCGCTACATGAAGTGTCAATACCCGGCTTGTAAAACAGTACTTCAGTGGCATGATGATAAGGATCCCTTCCAAAGAGCGTATGACGTGGGTGATCGTCTTTTAGTGCAGCAAATCATAAAGCCGTCTCAGTCAAATTGACTGTCACGAAATGTGCTCATTATCTCTGAAGATTCAGGTTTCGCTGGAACTGTAAAAACCTTGCAAGATAATTTATTTAACGTGTTATTGACGGTCCACAACAGTTCAAGAGATTCATATAAAAATATGGTACAATATGCTTTGCTTTGGGACCGGATGTCGACTAGGGTATCAAATTGTATATAGTATTTTTTCTGTTTTTTTTTTATTTGCCTGAATGGGCTTGACCCGAATTGCCTAATTTTTTTGGGCTAATATTTCAAAGTCCAAATTTGCTATATTTCAGGGACTAGTAGGGTCAGACTTGGGATTTTAGCCTAATTGACATCCCTATTTTCACTTGCGAAAGGCTCGACTGGTTAGACCACCCAAATTAAAACCGAACAAAGCTTGGCCCATGGATAGCCTAGACCGTCTATTGTAACCTAAATTCAGAAGGTATATGAAGCGCACCGTAAAATCTAGGGTTTCATCCTCCCTTCCACCTTTGATTTGGTTTTTTTTTCATCTCTCCTTTCCTCTTTGATTTTTCTTTTGGTTTGTCAACAATGGCACTGGATCCAGATTATGCAATCACTCTCTTTTGGGATGCGAAAAACGCCATTGTTGAGCCTAAAAAGATGGAAAGGTTGTTACATAGCATTGAAGGCTCCCTTAAAAAGACGGACCCGAGGTACCATATCGCTGAACTGAAGTTTGTAGTCTGTATCAAAGGTCAAGATTTCATCAAGAACGAAATGCCTTACCGCTACAGGAAATGCCAATACCCGGGTTGAAAAACAGTACTTCAGTGGCATGATGAAAAGGGCCCCTTCCAAAGAGCGTACGACGTGGGTGGTTGTCTTTTAGTGCAGCAAATCATGAAGCAGTATCGGTCAAACTGTTGTCACGAAATGTGCTCATTATCTCATAGAGATTCAGATTTCGCTGAAATTGTAAAAACCTTGCAAGATAATGGCTTTAACGTGTTACTGGTGGTCCACAACAGTTCAAGAGATTCATATAAAAATATGGTACATTATGCTTGGTTTTGGGATCGAATGTCGACTAGGGTATCAAATTGTATCATGTATTTTTTTTTTTCTGTTTTTCTTTTGATTTACCTGAATGGGCTTGGCCCCAAATGCCTAATTTTTTTTGGCTCATATGTTAAAGTCCAAATCTGCTAATGTTTTGGACGAGTAGGGTCAGACTTCGGATTTAAGCCTAATTCACATCTCTATTTTCACTTACGAAATGCCCGACTGGTTAGACCACTTAGCCCCAATTAAAACCGAACAAGGCTTGGCCCATGGAAAGCCTAGACCATCCACTGTAACCTAAATTCAGAAGGTATATGAAGCATACCGTAAAATCTAGGGTTACATCCTCTCTTCCACCTTTGATTTGGTTTTTTTTTCATCTCTTCTTTCCTCTTTGATATTTCTTTGGATTTGTCAACAATGGCACTGGATCCAGATTATGCAATCATTCTCCTCTGGGATACGGAAAACGCCACTGTTGAGCCTAAAAGATGGAAAGATTGTTACACAACATTGAAGGCTCCCTTAAAAAGGCGGACCCGATGTACCATATCTCTGAAACTGAAGTTTCTAGTCTGTAACAAGGGTCAGGGTTTTGTCAAGAAAAAAGGAGCCTATCTAAAGGAGAATCATTTCATCAAGATCGATGTGTCTTACCGCTATAGGAAGTGCCAATACCCGGGTTGTAAAACAGTACTTCAGTGGCATGATGAAAAGGATCCTTTCCAAAGAGCGTACAACGTCGGTGAGTGTCTTTTAGTGTAGCAAATCATGAAGCAGTATCGATCAAACTGTTCTCACCAAATTTGCTCATTATCTCATGGAGATTCAGATTTCGTTAAAATTATAAAAACCTTGCAAGATAATGGTTTTAACGTGCTACTGGGGGTCCACAACTGTTCAAGAAAGTTATATAAAAATATGGTACATTATGCTTGGCTTTGGGATCAGATGTCGACTAGGGATCCGATTGCGTCTAGAATTTTTTTTTTCTTTTTTTCTTTTGATTCGCCTGAATGGGCTTGGCCCGAAATGCCTAATTTTTTTTGGGCTAATATATCAAAGTTCGAATCTGCTAATTTTCAGGGACGAGTAGGGTCAGACTTCGGATTTTAGCGTAATGGACATCCCTATTTTCACTTACGAAAAGCCCGACTGGTTAGACCACTTAGCCCAAATTTAAACTGAACATGGCTTGGCCCATGGAAAGCCCAGCCCATCTAGTGTAACCTAAATTCAAAAGGTATATGAAGCGCGCCGTAAAATGTAGGGTTTCATCCTCCCTTCCACCTTTGATTTGGATTTTTTCTTCTCTCCTTTCCTCTTTTGATTTTTTTTTTTGATTTGTCAACAATGGCATTGGATCCAGATTATGCAATCACTCTCTTCTGGGATGCGGAAAATGCCACTGTTGAGCCTGAAAAGATGGAAAGATTGTTACCCAACATTGAAGGCTCCTTTAAAAGGGCGGACCTGAGGTACCATATCGCTGACCTGAAGTTTTCAGTCTGTAACAAGGGTCATGATTTTATCAAGAAGAAAGGAGCCTATCTAAAGGAGAATCATTTCATCAAGATCGATGTACCTTACCGCTACAGAAAGTGCCAATACCCGGGTTGTAAAACAGTACTTCAGTTGCATGATGATAAGAAGCCCTTCCAAAGAGCGTACGACGTGGGTGATCGTCTTTTAGTGCAGCAAATTATGAAGCAGTCTCGGTCATACTGATTGTCATAAAATGTGCTCATTATCTCTGGAGATTCAGATTTCGCTGGAACTGTAAAAACCTTGCAAGATAATTGCTTTAACCTGTTACTGGCGGTCCATAACAGTTCAATAGAGTCATATAAATATATGGTACAATATGCTTGGCTTTGGGATCAGATACCGACTAGGGTATCAAATTGTATCTAGTATATTTTTTCTGTTTTTATTTTGATTTGCCTGAATGGACTTGGCCTGAAATGTCTAATTTATTTTTGGCTAATATATCAAAGTCCGAATCTGCTAATTTTCAGGGACGAGTAGGGTCAGACATCGGATTTAAGCCTAATTGACATTTCTATTTTCACTTACGAAAGGCCCGACTGGTTAGACCACTTAGCCCAAATTAAAACCGAACAAGGCTTGGCCCATGGAAAGCCCAGTCTGTCTACTGTAACCTAAATTCAGAAGGTATGTCAAGCACGCCGTAAAATCTAGGGTTTCATCCTCTCTTCCACCTTCGATTTTGTTTTTTTTCATCTATCTTTTCCTCTTTCGATTTTTCTTTTGATTTGTCAACAATGGCACTGGATCTAGATTATGCAATCACTCTCTTCTGAGATGCGGAAAACGCCACTGTTGAGCCTGAAAAGATGGAAATATTGTTACATAACATTGAAGGCTCCCTTAAAAGGGCGGACCATATCGCTGAACTGGAGTTTGTAGTCAGTAACATGGGTAGGATTTTGTCAAGAAGAAAGGGGCATATCTAAAGGAGAATCATTTCATCAAGATTGATGTGCCTTATCGCTACAAGAAGTGCTAATACCTGGGTTGTAAAACAGTACTTCAGTGGCATGATAATAAAGACCCCTTCCAAAGAGCGTACGACATGGGTGATTGTCATTTAGTTCAGCAAATTATGAAGCAGTCTCGGTCAAACTGGTTGTCACGAATTGTGCTCATTATCTCTGGAGATTCAGATTTCGCTGGAACTGTAAGAACCTTGCAAGATAATGGTTTTAACGTGTTACTAGCGGTCCACAACAGTTCAAGAGAGTCATATAAAAATATGGTACAATATGCTTACCTTTGAGATCGGATGTCGACTATGGTATCAAATTGTATCTAGTATTTTTTTTTCTTTTGATTTGCCTGAATGGGCTTGGCCCGAAATGCCTAATTTTTTGGGGCTAATATATCAAAGTCCGAATCTGCTAATTTTCAGGGACAAGTAGGGTGAGACATCGGACTTTAGCGTAATGGACATCCCTATTTTCACTTACGAAAGGCCCGACTGGTTAGACCACTTAGCCCAAATTAAAACCGAACAAGGCTTGGCCCATAGAAAGTCCAGCCCGTCTACTATAACCTAAATTCAGAAGGTATATGAAGCGTGCCGTAAAATCTAGGGTTTCATCCTTCCCTTCCACCTTTGATTTGGTTTTTTTTCATCTCTCCTTTCCTCTTTCGATATTAATTTTGATTTGTCAACAATGGCACTGGATCCAGATTATGCAATCACTCTCTTCTGGGATGCGGAAAACACGACTGTTGAGCCTAAAAAGATGGAAAGATTGTTACCCAACATTGAAGACTCCCTTATAAGGGCAGACCCGAGGTACCATATCACTGAACTGAAGTTTGTAGTCTGTAACAAGGGTCAGGATTTTGTCAAGATGAAATGAGCCTATCTAAAGGAGAATCATTTCAGCAAGATCGATGTGCCTTACCGCTACAGGAAGTGCCAATACCTAGGTTGTAAAACAGTACTTCAGTGGCATAATGATAAGGACCCCTTCCAAAGAGTGTATGACGTGGGTGATCGTCTTTTAGTGCAGCAAATCATGAAGCAGTCTCAGTCTCAGTCACCATATCATTTCGTTCTTCATCATGTGTTCTGTATTTTGCTTTAGAGCTGATGATGGCTTTAGAGTTGTATCCTCGTTTGTGTTCCATCGGCTCTTCTCTTGGCGATATTTTGTGGTCTTCTCTCGTGTTCTCGGATTTTGTTGTATTCCTTAGAGTTGCGCGGATCTGAAACCAAAATCCGCACGGGAAAATTAATGAACCAAAGCTAAAACATTGTAAATATCAAACAAACAAGAGAATAGTTTAACTCACTCCCATCAAATTCAATTGAATCAAAGAAGTTTCCCATCTCAAATACGTCTGGCTGCGGTGTAAAGATGTCGACATCATATGGAAGCGATGGGAGCGCTTCTTCTTCATCGACAATAGACGGATTCGCAGACTCTGGTGTACCTTCAGCAGCACTTGTTTTAAACCGAAAATTAGAATCAAAGACTATGGATCTAATTCAAGAAACCAAAACCGTAAGACGTGAATCCCAATTCCCAACAAGAAGAGTCGCAAAGAGAGAGAGAGAGAGAGAGAGAGAGAGAGAGAGAGAGAGAGAGAGAGAGAGAGAGAGAGCAAACAATTACTAGTGATTTCCTTTGTGGTGCTGATCAACCAGCTCTTTCCACTCTCTGCATTAAACCCATAAACAACTCAATCCTCAAGTGTCAAGAAAAAAAGAAGAAAAAAAGAGTGTCTTAATGAAAAGATCAAAAACCCATACGCTATCAAAGTCTTGGCGAATCCCATGTTTCGTTAACAGACTTTCTGATGGTCAGAGACAAGCTTTCACTGATGGAATTAACAAAGACTCTGATTGCGCAATTCAAGGACTTTGGATCAAACCTCGTCTTCTTTGTTGAGAAAGATCTCTCTGTTCCTACCAACTTCCTTCGATCGCATCACTTAAGGCCTCAGCTTCGTCATAGGTGTAATTGCTAACAATCTGATTGCTGTTCAAATGCGTCTCATCCATGTGTCCTCTGCTACTGTTAGCTTTGCTCTCTTGATTACCACCAACCTCATAATATTCATCACGACATCAACCGGCGTATCACCAGATAATATGATATACATACACAGACAAAAACCAAACATACATTATGTTATTTCTCACAAATACCCAACTCTACATACATGAAAACTATATTTCTGAAATATGGAAACCAAATGAGAACCGAATATATACCACCAAATACATTCATTGTGTTGATATGGTTTTGTTTTGGATTTGGTTTTTTGAAATATTTTGAAGGGTTTTTGTCATAGGTGTAATTGCTAACAATCTGATTGCTGTTCAAATACGTCTCATCCATGTGATTGTTATCTCCTCTGCTACTGTTAGCCTTGCTCTCTTGATTACCACCAACCTCATAATCTTCATCACGCCATCAACCGGCGTATCGCCAAATAATATAATATACATACACAGACAAAAACCAAACATACATTTATGTTATTTTCTTCAAAAGCTTTTGTTTTATATTTGGCTGTGTGTAAATACTTGTAGGATTAGAGACACGAATGGGATTAATGTATTACATGTTGGGGAGGTACGAGGACGCAAGAAACGCGTTTGAGAGCGCTGTGACAAAGCTGCGAGCAGCGGGTGAGAAATCTGCCTTCTTCGGGGTTGTATTGAACCAAATGGGACTGGCCTGCGTTCAGCTTTTCAAGATCGATGAAGCGGGTATATCATACGCGCTTAGCTTTTCAAATGGATCGTGGACCGACCGTGTAATCAGGAAACTCTCGGCGTTTACAGCAATCTGGCTGCTACGTACGATGCCATGGGAAAGTAATGTCTCAAAGAACACTCTCTGACATATAACAACACTGATGATCTACTGGTTTACTATAATTGTAATCACAACTGGTTTGGGGTAAAATGTAGAATCTTCACCTAAACCGAGATAAAACCCAATTTTATATACATGAAAACTAGATTTCTGAAATATGGAAACCAAATGAGAACCGAATGTATACAGTACCACCAAATTTCTGAAATATGGAAAACAAATGAGAACCGAATATATACCACCAAATACATTCATTATGTTGATATGGTTTTGTTTTGGATTTAGTTTTTTGAAGTATTTTGAAGGGTTGTTGAATAATTTTAGATTTTAACCAATTTATTTTCATTTTCATTTGGTTTATGGTTTGTTTGGATATAGAAAAATGAAAACCGGACGAGCTTTTGGCTTCTGATTTCGGTTCGGTTTGAATCGGTTAAACCGGATTAGACATTTTGAGTGAAAACTACTTGGCATAAATGTTAAAGACATTCATATTTGTGATGGCGATGTAGTTTGCAGAATAGAGGATGCGATTGAGATATCTGAAGCTGAGAGAGGAGAAGCTTGGGACTGCAAATCCCGATTTCCAGGACGAGAAAAACCGTTTGGCCGAGCTTTTGAAAGTAGCGGGGTGGTCGCGGAACTACAAAGCCAAATCGCTGCAGAATCTGATCGATCCAAACGCAAGACCTGCAAAGAAAGAGTCTTCTGCTAAGAAATGGCCCAGTCTCGGTTTCAAGTTCTAACGAAGGGAAATAATATTCATATATTAGTCATCCATATATCAATATTTTTCTATTATAGTATTATCATTATTTTTCATTTGATCTTATTTTCTGTATCATAAAATCTGAGGCTGATAAATTAATTTCCTGTATAGTGTTATTATTTGAGTTTGGTGAAATAATGCTAAGGTGGTGAGCTGTTTGTTTGAGTTTGAGAATATCTTTAATCCAATCTTTATTTCGATAATTATATTTCTTTTCATATGATTGTGCTAGTTTGTGTAGAAGTATGGATACTGGCAAGCCACTTTTCTTTTCTTTTGCATCCAAATTTGATTCGCAATTATATAACTAGAGCTAGAGTAGTAGAGTACTATGTAACTTGCTTGACAAACGCAAATTGAAACATAATATGGTAAACGGATTACGACCGGTCAACTAAACCCTAGTATACAATAAAAACAGAGAATCTTTACAAAAAAGTTAGAACTCTTTTTCCTACAGTGCCATGGTATAACACCCAGCCCCGGCCCAACAATATTAAGAGTCATAGGGCAAAAAAATTTTGGGGCCCTAAATGTAAAAGTTTGAAAATGTTTGGCCCCTAAATGTACAAAGTTTGGAAAATGTTGGGCCTTATTTAATTATTTTTTCAATAAAAATGTTAAATTTAAATATAAAATATAATCAATTGGGCTTATATGTTCGAAAATAGGCCTTTTTTTGCATTACAATTTTGTGAAATATAGATCTGCCCCTTGGACGAGCGCACCTCTGCCCACCCCACTTGGGTCGGGCCTGATAACACCCTATATTAAATCATAAAATACAAAACTATCAAACCTTATATTTTCTCAATGTGATTCTAATTCTAATCAACACCAAAATCTCTATATTAAATCACAAAAGACCAAAATGTTCTACAAACTTAAATATAATATAACCATCGAGAAGTTTATTTTAAAATACTTACTATATTTCAGGTTTTCACGTGATAATTGTTTTTTCCGCATGACAGTTTATCTTGTACACTAACCACAAATGGATTCTCCAAGCAAATGCTTTTTAAAGTTTCTTCTCAATTTTGGTTAATTGGTTGAAACTTTTTTTTCAATTTTGCTTTTAAGTTGTTTTTAGATTCACAAAAGCCTGACTTGTAGTTTTTCTATATTCGTAATGTTTTTGTTCTTAACTTTTTATTTGACACAACTTATTTTACATTTTTTCATTGTTATAGATTTAATCTATGCAATGTTTGCTTGATATTTTTTTGTAACTTAGGGAGATTTTGCAACTTGCAAGGTTCTCTTTAGATAAGATTTCAAGCTGTAATTTGAAAAAAACCACAAACCTGCTCTTGTGGTAGGACTGACTAATTAATATTAAAGGCTGAAATGGAAATTCGTGTAATAATCCCCTATATTTTAAAAGAGAAGTATTTTTAAAGAGAAATTTTAAATTTGTAAAATATTACAATGATGCTATTTTGCTGATGCGTCAACCCCACATTCATTTTCAGCAAATTTTTTTAAAAAGACTTAGATTACTAGACTAATTACATGATATGTCATTGTATATTTTAGGTCCATAAATATGTTATGTTTTATTTTTTTAAATAAATTCAAAAGAAATAATATTAGAATTAATAATTTAATAAAATTAATTTGTTTAATACTAAATATAATATACACAAAATTTATTATATAATATTTTTAAAATATTATCCATATATTTTATTATAAATTCATAATAAAATATTAATTTTTTAATATTTACTATTTTTATCATTCATATTAAAATATATAATACTTTTTAATGCTTACTACTTTTAAAAAATTATGTTTATTGATTATTCATAAAAAATATTCTTATAAAAACAACTGAAAAATTAAAAAGTAATATTTTATTTTTCTCAAATTCATAATAAAATATATAACACTTTACTAATGTCTACTAATTGTTTATTAAAAATATTTTTATAAATACAACAGAATAATTGAAAATAATATTTATTTTTCTCAAAAATCAATCAGAACAAATAAAAGAAAGTCATAATGATGGAGACCACAAAAGACGTTACTTTTCTCTCAAAAAAGAGGCGATGAAAATGGCGATTTAGGGTTTATATGATTCTCGATCGGGAAGCTTTGGATGAATTATTCGGTTTCTTGGGTACAGTTTGGGTTTCGTGGGAATGGAGATTGACTTTTGGGATCGACATCTCGCGGAAATGGATTTCGGTGGGTTCTCGATTGATTCGATGGATTTGGGTTTTCTTGCGACTGCAAATCCTCCGGCTAGGGACAGTCTCGGTTATCTGGAAGTCTGTGGATGAAGATCCGCTGATGGCGGAGTGTGGCAACTTGGATACAATGAGGGATTATTGGGTAAGGAGATTGATTTTCAGGATTGACATATCGGCGAAAGGGGCCTCGATGTCCTCTCTTTTGATTCTATGGGTTTGGTTTTTCTCGTGGCCAGGCTTGGGAAATACGAAGTCTTTGTATGGGGATCCGCTGATAGAGGCGAGGGTGAAGGGTGGGGCTATGACCACAAAACAAGTCAGTCATGTTTTAATATGCACAAGGGGGGACTTGAGGGGAGAGAGATGGCTGCACCGATCATATAAAAATGAGAATTTATGGAGATTTCTACAGGTTTGTTGGGAGGTACAAGGGAAGATATGGGATTTCGCTTCTGGGAAGAAATTGATCAATATGGGAAAAGAACATTTGGGCCACATGGATCTGGTATTACATTTGTGGAAACAACGGAGAATTAGAATTATATTTCTGATTCTATATTTCAAAAAGATGGGAGGATACTCTACACGGGCTAATCAAGAAGAGCTATGGGCTCATTGCCTCATGGGTTGGCTACACCAAACAGGGACTCGGAGATACACATTTATTTGGAGATATCTTGAGATAAATGGTGACAGCCGAGTATCATGGAGGATCAATATTATCAGTAATGAGGGAGACTTGCTTGGTTTTGGTAATAAGATACTCCAGGATTTGTTAAGGAAACAGGGGATACCCTTTTGGCAATGGCTCCAGGTATTAACCCGATCTCACTCAACTATATATGGAATGATTAAGGACATTATTTTGGATTCTTAGGAGCACTTTACGGGAGTTAATTGTATGGGAGTTAATTGGGGAAAAATGGGTTTTTGGCTTGTATAAGATGCTATCTAATATGCCTTGTTACACACATTGCTCGTTCATCTCTTCTGTTTTCGTCTCAATATACTCATACTCTTGGATTTTTGGAAAACAACATGTCGCAATCAGGTTACCTTGGGGTTGTCAATGGAAGCAACAAAGCCAAAGCTACACTGCTGCCGAAGCTTAAGGTCACGATTCCACGTTTTGACAACACGGAGCTCATACGTAGGTACTCTCGGACTCTTATTGGGTGATGCATGAATCCATTGAAGCAGGATATGAATGCCTTACTGGTCATGTTCCCGCGGATATGGAAGGTCGATGATCGTGTCGCCGGAGCAGATCTCAGCATGGGGCGTTTCCAGTTTGACTTTGATGAAGAGGAGGACATTATTTCTGTCATGCAGATGGAGTCGTACCGCTTTGATGGTTGGATGGTGGTGTTAGTCAGATGGGAACCGGTAATAGAGCTCAATTATCCATCAGTTTTGACGTTTTAGGTGCGTATAATGGGAATTCCACTGCATTTCTGGGCGGAGACCAGCTTTCGCAGCATTTGGGAGGCTATCGGAAGTGTTCATGCTATAGATTTGGATGGAGGCAGAGTAAGATTGACCTTAGATGCTTTCAAACCAATCATCTTTGAGACAATGGTGGAGTTCCAGGGAGGGGTGGAGACAGTGGTGATCTTACGGTATGAGAGGCTCCAAGGGTGCTGCCGGGAATGCCATAGTCTTTGTCATGACACAGACCGATGTCCAGTGCTATATCCGAAGAGGGAAAGATCATTGGAGGACAGACATAAGGAGGATAAACCGGATGGAGGGGTCACAAGTTATAAAGGAGCGCTTACATGGTCCTCCAGGTAACTTGTGACCCCTCCAGGTAACGTGAAACACAACAGGGATCAAAAGATATGCTGAAAGGGAAGGGGAAGAACTCGGAAGTCAAAGAATCACGTCAGGTTCCTGCTAACAGTGTGAAAGTAGATGGTGTTAACACAGGAAGTCAATGAGGAGCAACTCGGGTCTATCCACAGAGAGAAGGAAAGCAACGATATGAGGGCACAATCAGGGGTATTCATCGGGGCCATGAGAGATTTATAATGAAACAGAAGGAGCAGGAAGGCACTTCAGAGCTGTTTCACGAGGAAGGGCAAAATCTTACAAGCCCAACCTAACATTCAGCCAAAAAAGTTCGAAAGGAACTGGATTTCAATCAAGGAGAGATCGGGATGGATGATTTAGGTGATATGGTTGACAAAGTGGCTATGGAAGATGTGCCAGAGGGTGAAAGGAATGACACGGTCACAAGCGATCATAATGACCCGTCAGAGGCTGATCTTCTGGAACTGGGCGATGATCTGGGGGATGAGGACGAGATGGAGACTCTCTGTATGGACGAGACGGGTGCAGAGGAACAGGGCATAATGGGGAAGGACGATTCGGGACACACTATGGACCGGGGTCAGTTTGAAGAGGCAATGATTGAGGGGGGCGATAGTGATGAAACGCTGGAGCATAAGGAAGATAAAACAGCAGCGAAGCCTGTCTCCAAGGTTGGAGCGGAGAAGAAGTTATTCAAAGGGAACATGGCCGTGGGTGGTGGATCAAAGAAGATAAGACAGATGGCCACACCAAGGAAAAAGATGATATCTCGGGATACAAAAAAGGCAGGTGAGCGAGGGATAATACTTTCACAGAAGGATGAAGGTATTCTTAAGGGAGCGGACAATACAATTGCCAAGGATTGGGGAATAGGTACACAATAAGTTATCTCAGGGAGATTTGGAGAAAATTTAGACCAGATTTTCTTTTTCTTTCTGAGACTAAACAATGTTCTGCTTTTGTAGAATAATTTAAATTTCATTTTGGTTTTGATTTGTTGTTCACGGTTGATCCGTGTGGACCAAGTGGTGGTCTTGTTCTATTTTATAATAGAAATTTCGATGTTACGTTATTATTTGCTAATAAACGTCTGTTGGATATCGAGGCACGTATAAATGGGAAAACAATTTATATGACTTTTGTATATGGCGATCCAATCCTAACATTAAGAGAGCAAGTTTGGGAAAGGCTAACTCGAATAAGTACAACAAGATCGGCACCTTGGTTTTTGATTGGAGACTTTAATGAATTAACGGGTAACCATGAAAAACAAGGAGGGATTATACGGCCTGCATCCTCTTTTCAGAGTTTTAATACTATGATTGCAGATTGTGGGTTGATTGATTTCCCAAATCGTGGAAACACGTTATCGTGGAAAGGACGACGGAATGGACAGAATGTTAGATGTAGATTAGATCGGGGCCTTGCAACGGAAGACTGGCATGATCTATTCCCATTCTCATATGTACAATACTTGAGAATGATTGGGTCAGATCATCGACCTATCCTGGCTACGATAGATTCAAAAAAAAATGAAACGACAAAGACAATTCCGGTTTGACAAGCGATGGATTCGTCAAGATGGGTTAATGGAGGCAATACAACGGGGATGGCAGCGTAAACACGCTGGCCTGAACATAGTTGACCAAATTCATACATGCCGACATGAGATATCAAAGGGGCGGAAGGAAAACCAACCTTATGTAAGAGATAATATAGAGGAGTTACAGAAGCAAGTAGAGGATATGCAGAATGATGACGAAAGGTCGCAAGAGGAGTTAAATGAGATAACAAATAAACTTAAAAATGCTTACCGGGATGATGAGCAGTTCTGGCAACAGAAAAGTCGGAACATGTAGAACAGATGTGGGGATCTAAGCACTAAGTTTTATCATGCAACCATAAATTAACGTCAGACAATTAATTGGATTGTGGGGCTTCATGATAAATAAGGAAATTGGGTGGACGGGGAAAAAAAGATAGAGAAAGTTGTGGTGGAATACTTTGGGGAGTTGTTTACGACTACTTCACCAACGAGGTTTGAGGATGTATGCTCAGAGATAACACCGGTAATCACAGAAATGGAGAATACGGAACTGGTTAAACCAGCAACAGAGATGGAAGTCAAGAAAACGTTATTTATGATGCATCCGGAGAAGGCTGCAGGGCCGGATGGAATGACGGCTATATTCTTTCAGAAAGCATGGGATATAATAAAAGGTGACGTCGTTGCAATGGTAAATGATTTTCTTAGTACGGGTTCCTTTGACAAAAGGATGAATACAACAAATATATGTCTTATTCCAAAGACGGGTCGGCCTACCAGAATGACAGAATTACGATTAATTAGTCTCTGTAATGTGGGGTATAAGATTATTTCTAACGTGTTGTGACAGCGGCTAAAAAGGGTGCTACCAAGGCTGATTTCTGAGACTCAATCAGCTTTTGTGCCAGGCCGACTGATCTCGGATAATATCCTGATAGCACAAGAAATGTTTCATGGACTCAGGACAAACAAATCGTGCAAGGGTATATTTATGGCGGTAGAAACGGATATGAGTAAGGCCTACGATCGTATAGAATGGCCTTTTATTGAACACTTGCTTAGGAAGATGGGCTTTGCGGATAAATGGACCTCGTGGCTCATGTGGTGCATTGAGTCCATCCAATATAAGGTTATTATTAACGGTCATCCTCGGGGACATATAAAGCCACAGCGTGGCCTATGTCAAGGAGATCCATTATCTCCATATCTATTCATCTTATGTACGGAAGTACTCATATCAAATCTAAGAAAGACAGAGGCAGCTAAGTCTCTTACGGGTATGAAAATTGCTCGCACTAGCCCAGCGATTTCTCATATGCTATTTGCAGATGATAACCTATTTTTCTGTAAGGTCAATCCGGAAGAGGCTGCAGCTCTCCTCCATATACTTAATCAATATGAATCAGTCTCAGGGCAAAAGATAAATTTTGATAAATCATCGATACAATTTGGGGATTCAGTGGACACAAATATGAGAGCATTGGTTCACAATACATTGGGGATTATTAAGGTTGGTGGGATGGGTATATATCTAGGACTACTGGAAAGCATGAAGGGGGGGGGGGGGGGGGGGCAGCGAAGACGAAGATATTTAATTTTCTTCTCGATAGCCAACAAAGACGTGTAAACACCTGGATGTCAAGATTGCTATCGAAAGGTGGTAAGGAGGTCCTTATTAAATCGGTGGCTACTGCAATTCCGACATACACCATGTCATGCTTTAGGCTCCCTAAAGCATTGACGTCCAAGTTAACCAGCACAATAGCAAAGTTCTGGTGGAGTAATAACGGGAACACTCGAGGCATGCACTGGCTAGCTTGGAATAAGTTATGTAAGCATAAATTGGAAGGGGGGCTGGGGTTCCGGGTAATTGAGGATTTTAACACTGCACTACTGGCGAAACAGTTGTGGAGACTCATAGAATTCCCGGACTCTCTTTTTGCAAAGATCCTCAAGGGTAGATATTTCCGGCATGGTACACCGCTAGACCCAGTACGTTCATATTCTGCATCGTATGGGTGAAAAAGTATCACATCTGCTAGGTCTCTGGTACACAAATGACTCATCAAAAGAGTGGGCTCTGGGCACTCCATATCAGTATGGAATGATCCTTGGATTCCTGACTCACGCCCGAGAGCAGTAATATGCAAAGGATACAATGTTTATCCTGAGCTAACGGTCAATCAGCTAATTGATCCCACAACTTCAACGTGGAATATACCACTATTACTACAGTTAATTATCATGGAGGATGTGTCCCTAATTATTGGGCTACCTACCTCAAGGAATCGAAAAAAAGATCTCATGGGCTGGTTTTTCACAAAGAATGGGCGATACACAGTCAAGTCTGGGTACACTGTCGAACAAGAGATAAATTATTTAGACACGAGATCATGGCCGTACGGGCCAGACATGAGCAAGCTACAGGCACAGGTGTGGACAGTCAAATTTCCACCCAAAATGAAACACTTCTTATGGCAGACTATTTCGGGTTGTCTGGCGGTTACGGACCGCCTGCAGAACAGGGGTATATATTGTGATCCCACATGCAGTCGTTGTGGGGAGGAAAGAGAAATGATCAATCACACACTATTTGAATGCCTACCAACTCTGCAAGTATGGGCACTTTCAAGCATTCCGACCCCACAACATGGTTTCCCTACGGGTGCCCTTTTCTCAAATATGGAACATTTGTTTTGGCATTTACCAAATCACGAGGATATGAAAGTATACTCGTGGCTGTTATGGTACATATGGAAAATGAGAAATGATAAAATTTTCTCAAATATTGATCGGGATCCACGAGAGGTGGTGCGACTAGCGGTAGCGGAAACACATGCTTGGGATGACGCACAAACAGACCTGGCAGATATACCACCATTTGGGGTCCAAGAAATAGTAGATTTTACGGGGAGTATAACTTGTCAAACGGATGGTTCATGGGACCGTACTAGTCAATTCTCAGGTTTGGGATGGTTCTGTAAAGGAATCGGAGAAATGGGTACTTTGATGGGTGTAAAAAATGTCCGGAGGAGTCTGTCGGCGCTACACTCAGAGCTAGAAGCCATGATTTGGGCAATGCATAACATGCTCAATACGAAGAGGCTGGAGGTGACTTTTCTCACATATTGCTCAGACTTGGTGAAAATAGCGTCTAACCCGAAGGAGTGGCCAGCATTCTCTCTACATTTAAAGAAGTTCGAGTTGAACAGGAAGGAATTTGCTTACTTCAACTTAGCTCACATCCCACGTGCGCAGAACAAGAAGGCGGACAAGCTAGCAAGAGGTGCCCGTGTATACCTTCATCATCTAGACTATGTAAACTCTATTTCACCGGCTTGGCTCTCTGAGACGGATTAGAAGTATGAGACTGTTGACCAAAAAAAAAGTCATAATGATTTTATTCACATATTGTTGTAATTATAGCATACATGAAAATAATTGTGAAAACATATATAATACTCCAAGCTAAATTTATAAGTGTATATCTTTTAACAATATAATAATATATACAAAATATATTATTAAAAATATATGTTATTTTCGTCACAAACATCAATTAATAAGAAAATGACGAATTTCCAAAATTATTATGATATATATTATTTAATATCCAGATTTACTATATAAAAAAATATGATATATTCTATTATGATTTAATTTATATATGACTCTTAGATGACAAATATGGTATATATCATTATTGATTACCTTTTGTTTGGTAAGAGATCATAACATGATAATATCAGTATTAATTTTTTTAATTTTTAATTAATATTTGATTTAATATATACAGTATCAAATTTTCAACAAGATTTTTTCATGTTTTTTTTTAGTTTGCATGCTTTAAATCAATCAATTTAATTACTGTAAAAATTCTATAAATTGATAATATTGTGATTTCAATATTTTATTAATTTATAGAATTATAAATTTATCGGTTTGGAACTAAATAAATTATTTTTACTAATTAAGTAAAAAAACCATTATTTCAATTTTAAGAAAAACCATTATATATTCGTATTGTAGTAAATTATCATAGTTATATATTTATATAAATTTATTTTATGGTAATTATTAATTTATGATATTAATAGAACTATATATTTATATAGATTTTCGTAAACAAATATTATCTTACTGATTTGTATCATATATTTTGAACAAGTCCAATTTCGGACTAGGAAAATTTATTAATTTATTTAACTAATAATATTTTATAAATAAGTAACAAACTATTTTACTAA